CGGTAAGATTTGAACAGCCGAACTGCAGAACTGCAATCAGCTGAAGTAGCCTGCAGTGCTGCATTTAACCACTGCCCCACCTTGTAGCAAACCCATGGTCATGTGATCAAGATTTGGGTGGTTGGCAATTGGTTCATATTTATAATGGTTGCAGTGTCCTGGGGTCACCTGATTGCCTTTTGTGACCTTTTGACAAGTAAATTCAACGGTGAAGCCAAATTCACTTAATAACTGTGCTACTAATGGCAATAGCACTTAGACTTATATACTGCTTTGCAGTGCTTTACAGCCCCCTCTAAGCAGTTTACAGAGTCAACATGTTGCCCAACAATCTGGGTCCTCATTTTGCCCATCTTGGAAGGATGGAAGGCTGAGTCAACCTTGAGATTTGAACTGCCAAATTGCAAGCAGCCGGCAGTCAGCAGAAGTAGCCTGCAATGCTGCACTCTAACCACTGCGCCACCGTGGCTCACTAACGTAACAGCTGCAATGATTCACTTAACAACTGTGGCAAGAAAGGTGTTCAGCTGGGGCCATAATATGTGGTTTTGTCTTTGTTTTTAGTTCACATTTTATTAAGGTTGTTGTCTTGCTTTGCTTTGTCAATGTTTAAACCTTTTTTTCTTTTGTATTTTGTATTTTCATCTTCGGAACAAAAATTTTAAAAAATTCAAATTAGGGCTGAAGAAGAAGTTCTCTGAGCAATCTTGGAATACCACCAACTCGCTGAAAAGATCTCAGAAGGAACAGGGCTTGTCAGCTGCTGAGTTGGAAAGGCAGCAGATTCTTCAGGAAATGAAGAAAAGGACCTCCCTGCACACGGACAGCAGCTGGATCCGGCAACGCAATGCCAGCGTTCACAAAGAGCCCTTCAGTCTGACCGGCACTAGAATGAGGAGGTAATGGTGCTGGTTGTCACCTTTAAAGCCCTTCATGGCTTGGGACCACGTTATCTGAGGAACCGTCTCTTGCTGGTCACATCAGCCCAACCCACCGGAGCAGGGAGGCAAGGAATGTTACGGGTCCCATCAGCTAGAGAGATACATCTGGTGGGACCCAGGAGAAGGGCCTTTTCTGTGATGGCTCCCTCTCTCTCTCTGGAACATCCTCCTCCCAGAGATTAGAATGGCCTGGGAAACCCAGAATGGGATGGAGCCCATTAAATGGCTCGTATGCAGTGGTGGGTTCCTAATCGGCTTACTACCGTTTTGCTGAGAGGATGTTTTGCGCGCGCCCATGCTGTGCATTGCTATGCATGGACAGTTGATTGAAAACTGTCCTGCGCATGCGCAGAAATATGCCAGCGATGGCAGAAGAGACCGGGGAACCAATTTGGGGGCATGGCAGGCTCGGGTCACTCCCAGTTCCAGCGACCCAGACCACCATACCACTACATTTTTGACCGAACCGACCCGAATTGGTAGGAACCTACCACTGCTCATATGATGTCTTGCCATTTTGCTTCTCATCCAAGAAGCTTCTTCAGTTCTGATTGAAAAGTGGGGAACGGAAGGATTTATATTCCTCGCAGACTTAGGCTTAGGCATAGACGTAGAATAACTTTATTGTCACTTTAAATGTATGCTAATCGGCATACTTTAAAATGAAATTTCGTTGCATACAGCTCTCAAAGGGTCCCCCCTTCCAATATACACCAGATAAATGTGACTAAATAAATAAATAAATGTTCATATAGCCACATATATTGTGTGACACAGAGAAACAACGCAGTCTAGTTCGAATGTATACATGTGCATGATGAGAAAAACAAATCTTTCTAGTTTACCAAACAGACAGCCTAAGGAACAAAGCTGTTACAGAATTGGGTATTCCTGCTGGAAATACTTCAAAACCTTCTCCCAGAGGGGAGCAACAGAAACATCATAAAGTGGATGTGTGGGACCTCTAACAATGCTTTGAGTTCTAAGCACACAGCTCTTATAATCAGTAACCTGAATAATGGGAAGCGAGCTTCCTATAATCATCTCGGCTGCCCTTACCACTCTCTGTATGGACTTTCTATCGGAGGCACTGCTGCCACTAAACCAAACAGTGATGCAGTTTGTTAAAACGCTCTCAGTTGTCCCTCTGTAAAAAGTGGCCAGAACAGAAGGAGCTGGTCATTTGCATTCTTTTTAGAGAGTCGTTGAGGCCACCTGGAGGTTTATCTGTGTCCTCTGGGACAACCATGACCTGGATGACTGAGACGCTCCCTAGACCTCACCAAAATTATTCTCCAGTTAATAGTAGTATCTTTTGTGTAGAATGATCAACTATAGCCACTATACATTTTTCTTCCAGAGGTGAGAGCTTGGATAATCTTGACTCTTCAAGAACAAACTCCTGGAGACCTCATTCCTGGATGAACCAGTCTGCATCTTCCACATCTTTGTCGAGCAGCCAAGAGTTTGGCCAGCATATTCCTCCAGTGGTGTCCACCTCCAATCGGGCCTACATGCGCACCCCATCTTCCAGTCTTCCCTCTCCTTCCTCTGCATCTATGACAACATCTTCCTTGCCCCATATCCCCCCATCACCTTCTGTTCCTCAAGCTCCGTCGCCAACCTCTTCTCAGTCTGGGACGCAACAGCGCAACAGGTATAAGAAGCATCTACTGAATTCTTTTTGTTTCTCCCTCATTTTGGGGGGATGAGGGGGGGGGCAGAAACAACCTGGCAACCCTCGAGATCATCTGTGAGTTCCTCACAATGATGATTAATGGGTATGTTATACTACAAAAAAAATTATACAGGTAGACCTTGCCTTACGACCACAAGAGAGTCCAAAATTCCTGTTGCTACCCTGTTTTCCCAAAAATAAGACCTCCCCGGATAATAAGCCCAATTGGGCTTTTGAGCGCATGCGCTAAAATAATCTCTCCTCCGAAAATATTACAACACAGCAGCAGCCATGAGGTAACCATGCTTGCCACNATAGATAGTTACTTTAAGCTTTCTAAATCTGAATTTAATTTGTATTTTTTTTTCCTTCTGATGATAGCTGGACACACAACCGCCATGTGATCCGAACATATGAAGAGGAAGCCTCTGCAACAGACAGAGAAGGAAACGGCTGCTTCAAATCTAAAAATATTCGGAGTGGGGTGTGTTTTGTAGGACCAGGAGTTTGCCTGTCTAGATCATGTAGAAGATGCACTAAACTGCATCCTTCGTTTAAAAAAAAAAAGCCCCTATTTTGAAGTATTTATGAGAAAGCCATCACATTCTAGAGAGCTGCGCAGAACTTTGTGAGAATTACATTTGAAGACACGCAGAGGTGGTTGCAGTCTTTATCTCAAGTTAAGCTACGCTTAAGTAATATTTCCCTTTCGAAACTCTCCACTTCACTTTATTCAATATCCCTTTGTGCTTTAATGGTGAAATCCAGCTGGGGAAATTTGTGAAAGATTCTTTATCGTCCCGTGTTTGAAAAATGTAACTCTCCGTGCACCTCATAAACAGGTTAATATAACTGAAGAATTTTTTTTCCTTCTGTTTTCTTTTGTATTTGTAAATAAAGTTGCTGATGCTGCACTTAGACCCATTGGTCAAATGCCTTTGTTATGCCTCAAAAAAATTGTGCAGGAAGAAGTTGTAACTTGAGCGGTATTTCCAAGCTAACATCCCAAAGGCATGGGTCACACATTCCTTCAAGGTGGCAAAACTTTAAATTCTAGATTTAAAAAGTACATAGAAAATAAACTTAACGGGAGTTAAGTAAGAAGTTTGACAAACTTCTGCATCTGTCTAAAACAGGGCTGTCAATTCAAGGCTCGCGGGCCGGGTGCGGCCCACTGTGCTTAGATCTGGCCCCCGGGCCACCCTGGAAACAGCCAAGGGGTGGCCTGTGGTGCCTCTGCCAGCAAAAACGGAGCTCAGGAGGGCCTCGTGCAGCCCTCCTGAGCTCTGTTTTCACTGGCAGAGCGTTGCAGGAGGCCATCACAACCAGAAATGAAGCTTGGGAGCCAGTTTTCACTGGCATGGTGCTCCGGTTGCCACAGGTACCCCCCACATGTGACATCAAGCTGGCCACACCCACCATGGCCATGCACCTCCGGCCCTCCCAAGGCAAACACAACCCTGATGTCCTCCTCAATAAAATCGAGTTTGACACTCCTGGTGTAGAACATTCAAAATAAAAATCAAATACTGAGAAATGAAATGCCTTCTACCCTGTTTCCCTGAAAATAAGACCTCCCCGGATAATAAGCCCAATTGGGCTTTTGAGCACATGCGCTAACATAAACCCTCCCCCAAAATAAGCCCTACCCAAAAATATTGCAACACAGCAGCAGCCATGAGGTGACCACACTCGCCACCACCTACCCCTCAAAAATAATAAGACCTAGAAAATAAGGCCAAGCGCTGTCTTATTTTCAGCGGTATTAGTTGGCCGAAGATGAAGTAGCCTTCTAAGAGTGGCCTGATTCACCATGACCCATCAAAACTGCGCTCGACTAAGCCGCGCCCGACTAAACCGCGCCCGACTAAACCGCGTCGCTGACGTCATCAACAGGGCGACAACAGCGCGGAGACAGAAGCACGCTGTAAACCCTAAACTTAACCCCTAAACCTAAACCTAAACCTAAACCCCCTAAACCTAATCCTAAACCTAACCCTTAACCTAACCCTTAACCTAACCCTT